AGTGTGTAAATCTTCATCGCATCGTGGAGTCTTCTTCTCCTGCTGCTTTCGTCGTCTATGCCAGAGGGCTAACTGTCGGGTGCCGAACTCCATGACTTGTGGGATCTTGACTACGGCGAACATTCCATCGGATCGAGAGTCTTATTCCGCCAATCAGTGCAGACTTTCTAAAGGGGGAAGAGGGGGTGGGAACCGGAAAGCGTGTGTCCCATCATTGAGAGTCTCGCTCTCTCGCCCCTCCGCTGTCCTGCGCTCCCCTCTCCCTTAGGTAGAGAAGAGGGGGAGTGCCAGGAGTAGGTGGAAGGGGAGACAGATTGTGCACCTGGACGAAAAGGGAGAGAGAAATGACAGGCTTTTGAAGACCAGGTTTAGTGATGAGGATGATCGGTGGAACACACCACGGTCGGCAAAAGTGTCCCGCAGTCGGTGTCCTACGACAGATACGAAGTATATTTAACCACTATAAATCAGCGCATTGGGCTACTTTCCCACACCCACATGGCACACTTATTACAACTTGGGATATCCACGTCGTCCAACTGATTCATTCCAAAGCGTAAATGGGAAGAGGCGTTACTATTGCGATGTTTGTCCCTTTAAGTTCTTTGTGTCGATATGACAGGCGTTCATGTCATTAAAATTGTGTCTTGGATTTGCCTAGACGTCGCTAGCCGTGATGGAAGGTGTCATTGGCAATGCCTTGCAAGAAGAAAGAACTGGAGAAGAAATCCTCTTGCACTTCTGGTCGAAGAAATTGTTTGCCTTTTGTGAACAGGCAAATCTTTCTGCACTGATGTCACTGATGTCATCTTTGATCCATTTTAGAATACCGTTCTTCACTTTCACAGGAGCTACATCCGTCGGGTTCCAACAGCATTTTAGACGTAGGTAGGTAGATGAGAGGGCGAGAACACAGTGAAACTGTCAACTACTTGCGCATGCTTTTGAATGAATGTACACTGCCGGTAGTAGGCGTTGTGAAAGTGGCGATCGCAGGTTACAACCGGAAAGGCGCCCAACACGCTTCACTGTCGATTGTGCACGCAGTCCTCGTCTGACGCATTATTTATCCTGCACTCGCAGGTGGACACCAAGTAACACGTTTTGACGTGTAGGATTACCGTCACGTGCTAGTCAGTTTGGTGTGCAAATAGAAGACCAGCCGCATTAGCAGGTTTGGAAGCATGTAAATGTGGTGGCGACTTGAAATCCGAGAAGCGATTCCTTGCAGCCTCCAATGTGGTGCTACGGCATTATAATCCAGGTACTGGCTCCATTGCTCCCCTGGTGGCACCAAGGCTAAGTCAAGGACACCATGGTGGAATACCAGCAAGCCCCGTTAGTCTTTATTGGAGAACAATGATGCCCTAAATGGAAACTGGTTTCTATTAGCAACCAGTAGGATAGTGAGTTTACAGTCTGGGGGAATTTCACGTAGTAAGCGATGGTGCTGCTGTTAGGTGACTTTCTCAGTGCTGCCCTGGACCATTGACCCAACATCAAAGCGAACTGGATTGAGAGCCTGTTCGCTTGACCTTGCCAAAACCATCATCATTGTGTCCGAGGTCAATCGACTATCACCTCCAAGAATAGTCTACGGGATACTTCAGAGTCAATCCAACGTGTTCATGCCTGTTTGTAAGAATGAGGAGTGACATTTATAAGGTCGTTTTTGCTTATTTAGTTATGAGGTGGGAAAAGG